TCATTAGGGGGTCTTCCTTTTTCACTGACCCTCCACTTTACCAAGCATAATGTCCTTCTCTAGGGTGATAATATGTCCGAAGTATGGGAGATGAAGTTTTGCCATCCTGACTTCTAAGGAGCATTCTGGCTGTACTTCGTCTAACACAGATTTATTTATTCTTCTAGCAGTCCATGGTACTTTTAATATTGTTCTCCAACACCATAACTCAAATGCATCAATTCTTTTACAGCCTTCCTTATTCATTGTCCAACTTTCACATTATGAAGCTTTTGAAAATACCATGGCTTGGGTCAGGTGCACCTTAGTCCTGAAACTGACATCTTTGCCCTTGAACACTTGAAAGACATCTTATGCAGTAGAATTGCCTAATGCAATGTCAGTTGATTTCTTGAATTTTGCCTCCATGAGTGTTGATAGTGGATCCAAGCAAAAATAAGTCTTTGACAACTTCAGTCTTTTCTCCATTGATCATGATGCTATTTATTGATCAAGTTGTGAAGATTTGTGTGTTTTTTTACATTGAGTTGCAACCCATACTGAAGACTGTGGTCTTTGATCTTCATCAAAGTATTTTAAATCCTCTTCAGTTTCAACAAGCAAGGTTGTATCATCCGCATATTGCAGATTGTTAATGCAATCTTCCACCAATCCTGATGCCACGTTCTACGTCACATAATCCACCTTCTCAGATTATTTGTTCAGCATTACAGACTGAATAAGTAATAAGTGAAAGAATACAACCCTGGCACACATCTTTACTGATTTCAAATCATTCATTGTCTCCTTGTTCTGTTTGAACGACTGCCTCTTGGTCTATGTACAGGTTCCTCATGAGCACAATTAAGTGTTCTGGAATACTCATGCTTCATAATGTTGTCCTAGCTTCTCATGATTCACACAGTTGAAAGCCTTTGCATAGTCAATAAAGCACAGGCAAACATCTTTCTGATGTTTTCTGCATTCAGTCAAGATCCATCTGACATCATCAATGATATACCTTGTTCCATGTCCTCTCCTGAATCTGACTTGAACCTCTGACAGATCCCTGTCAATGTACTGTTGCAGCTGTTTTTTAATTATCTTGAGCAAAATTTTACTTGTATTTGATATTAATGATATTGTCTGATAGTTTCTGCAAAATGTTGGGTCACATCTCTTTGGAATGGGCATAAATATGGATCTCTTCCTATCAATTGGTCAGGTAGCTGTCTTCCAAAATCTTGGCATAGATGGGTGAGTGCCTTTAGTGCTGCATCAGTTTGTTAAAAGATTTCAGTTTGTATTCCATCAATTCCCAGAGCCTTGCTCCTTGTCAATGCCTTCAGTGCAGCTTGGACTTCTTCCTTCAGTACCATTGGCTCTTGATCATAAGTTATCTCATGAAATGGTTGAACATCGTCCATTTCTTTTTGGTACAGTGACTCTGTGTATTCCTTCCATCTTCTTTAGATGCTTTCTGCATCATTCAATGGGTTTCCTATAGATCCTCCAATATTGAAAGTCAGGGCTTGAATTTGCTTTTTCAGCTTGAGAAATGCTGAGAATGTTCTTCCTTTGTGATTTTCTAACTCCAGGTCTTTGCACATTTCATTATAATATTTGTCTTCTCAAGTTGCCCTTTGAAAGTTTCTGTTCAGCTCTATTACTTCCTTATTTCTTCCATTTGCTTTAGCATCCATTTTGTCTTTTTCTTCTTTCTTGTCTTCTTAATGACCTTTTGCTTTTTTCTGTATGATGTTCTTGAAGTCATCCCACAACTCTTGTGATCTTCAGTCATTAGTGTCTAAGGCATCAAACCTGTTCTTGAGATGATCTCTAAATTCAGGTGGGATATAATCAAGGTCATATTTTGGCTCTTGTGGACTTGTTTTTTCTTCAGCTTCAGCCTGACCTTGCATGTGAGCAACTGATGGTCTGTTCCACAGTTTGCCCCTGGCCTTGTTTGGGCTGATAATGTGGAGCTTTTCCAATGTCACTTTCCACATGTGTAGTCAATTTGATTTCTGTGTATTCCATCTGGTGAGGTCCATAAGTATAGTCATCTTTTATGTAATTTCAAAAAAGTATTTGCAATAAAGAAATCATTAGTCTTGTAAAATTCTAGCATCGTTTCTATCACCAAAGTCATGTTTTGCAACAAACCTTTGTATTCTAATCACCAGTAATTATCAGTACATCTTGATTGCATGTTTGATCAATTTCAGACTGATGAAGTTGGTAAAATTCTTCAAGTTTATCATCAATGGCATTAGTGGTTGGTGCATACATTTGAATAATAGTAGTCCTGTGGGCATGTCACAGGCAGCCCTATACATCAAGATAGATCTTGAAATAATCCCAGTCCATTTCAGCTCACTAATGTCTCGACTATCAATCTTCATGTGTTCCATTTCATTTTTGACAACTTCTAATTGTCCTAGATTCATACTTTATGCATTTCACTTTCCAATTATTAATGGATGTCTTCAGCTCTTTCTCCTCAGTTTGAGCTGTGTCCCTTCAGCAAATGAAGGTCCCGAAAGCTTTACTTCTTTGGTATCATCACCTTCAACTCTACTTTGAGGACACAGCTCTTCCCCAGTCATATTCTGAGTGCCTTCCAACCTGAAGGGCTCATCTTCTGACACCCTATCTGACAATATTCTGGTGTTATTCACCATGTTTCAATATTCTAGTGATATCTGAGAGTGTTCCACTGCTATTTATAAGGTTTTCCGTGGCTAAACATTCAGAAGGAGTCCACTCCTATTTCTTTGGAGTCTGTCTTAGTCTGGAAGGAAGCTTAGCAGAAAGCTGTCCACCATGGGTGACCCTGCTGGTATTTAAAATACTGGAGGCATAGCATCCAGCATGCAGACACCACAGTACGACCAAGCGACAGACGAGTGGAATAAAACTGTGCGTGTATGAATTGGAATCCTAATAGTAACAGTTGTTGTTCTACCTTTGTACATATGTATCTATTTGAAGGGGCTTCAAAATGTTAATGAAACAACTGAATGAAAAGATAATGGACTATTTCTATGAACTTTTTAAAGCCCCCTCACACATAGTCAATGGTGTATGGTGTTGGTGTGCCTTGGAGTCAATTTTGACTCATAGCAACCCTGCATAGGGTTTCCAAGGCTATAAATCTTTCATGGGAGCAGAAAGCTTCATTTTTCTCCCGAGGAACAGCTGGTAATTCAAACTGCTGACCTTAAGGTTAGCAGACTGACTAATAACCACTATGCTCCCAGAGCTCTTAAGCATGTATGGCTATGGCTATGTGCCGTGGTGTCGGTTCCGACTCATAGCGACCCTGTACAGGGTTTCCAAGGCTGTAAATCTTTATGGGAGCAGAAAGCCTCATCTTCCTCCCATGGAACAGCTGGTAGTTTCGAACTGCTGACCTTGTGGTTCGCAGCCCGATTTGTAACCACTACGCTACCAGAGCTTATAATGTATTATATGCGCATTATGTAATATGTGGGGAGCACAATGGCTCTGTAGGATAAGTACTGGACTGCTGACCACAAGGTCAGTGGTTCTAGTCTACTAGTTGCTCCGCAAGAGAAAGATGAGACTTTCTGCTTCCCCAAAGCTTTACTGCCCAGAAATGCCATACAGAGTTGCTATGAGTTGGAACTGATTTAACAACACTTAACAACAACAACAATGCAGTATGCAAACTCACACTAGGATAATGTACACCAAAATGTTATGGTTGTACTGGTGGGTAATATGTATGTGGGTATTTATACACTGTTGTTATTAGGTGCTGTTGAGTCGATTCCGACTTATAGCAACCCTGTATAGGGTTTCCTAGGAGCAGCTGGTGAGCTTGAACCACAGACTTTTGGTTCAAACTGACTTTGCAGTCCAGCACAGTCCTCACCAGTACTTCATTTACACATTCATATACATATATATATATATATATATATATATATACATATATACATACACACACACACACATGCATGCATGGAGTTCTGATGTGGTGCTGTGGGTTAATGCGCCAGACTGCAAAGTCTATGGTTCAAGCTCACCAGCCATTCCTCAGAAACCCTATACAGGGTTGCTATGGGTTGGAACTGACTCTACAGCACTTAACAACAACAACAAGTACATATGCATGCATTCATGCACACATGTATCTTGCCTACATGATTATGTATGTGTATAAAGATTTACATATATATATATGTTTATACACATATGAGTGTTTATATATATCATATTTATGCATATTTTTGTGTGTGCATGTAGAGACTGGAAAACTGCATATCAAAACTCTAATAGTGGTTTCCTGTAGGCAACCAGATTATGAATAACTTTTATTTTTCTGTTTTTCCTATCTGCATGATCTGAATTCACTACAACAAACATTTTATTACTTTTTATGGCAGTAGTATGGCTATTAAGGAGCTCTGGTAGCGTAGTGGTTGCAAATCAGGCTGTGAACCGCAGGTCAGCAGTTTGAAACTACCAGCTGTTCCATGGGAGAAAGATGAGGCTTTCTGCTCCCGTAAAGATTTAAAGCCTCAGAAATCCTGTACAGTGTCACTATGAGTCGGAACTGATTCCACGGCACATAACAACAACAACAGTATGACTATTAGATAATTATTACTGTAATCCCATAAAATAATTATTACAAACATTTCTTCTGCCTAAAGTTAGAATTGGTCTTGGGGGAGGGGATAAGGCCCTGTCGCCATGGTCAAGGAGAACTGACGTTCAGGAGCTGGGGCCAGACAAGGCCTTTTTGCCCTTAAACAGGTTTATGTGTGCTTGTCTGAGCTTCCACTTATGATCTTCGCAGGGTTTCCATGGAAAACGTTTTCTAGTTTCCAAGGGGCCCACTCAAAATACATACTTGTAGCATTGGCTGGGATGTGTGTGCCCTTGAGGTTTGTGATGGTCACTGGAAGCAGGCTGTTTACAGCCCAGGTCCACCTGAGCCTGCTGTAGCCGTGTGGTCTTGACCCTTGGGTTTCGTGTCCCCTGCACAGATCAGCTGGACATCATCTCCATGGCCGAGACAACCATGATGCCCGAGGAGATCGAGCTTGAGATGGTGAAAATCCAGCGTCTGCGTGAAGTCCTGGTCCGGCGGGAGTCGGAGCTCAGGTTCATGTGAGTGACGGTGCTGTGGGGTGTGGAGGAGGAAATGACAGCAGGGACCCTAATGTTTACTCATCACCTACTGTGAGATGCTGTAGGAGGAGCACTGGACTGATGACTGCAAGGTCCGTGGTTCTAATCTACCAGTAGCTCCTCAGAAACCCTTTACAGGGTCATTGTGAGTTGGAACTTAACAACAACGTGTGCCAAATTGTGGGACAAAAGCGTTCTGTGGATCTTGTTTTCTCATTCAATTTTCACAACTACCTAAAGCAGTGGGTACCATGATCCTAATTTTAAATACCACACTCAGGCTGGGAATGAATTCAGGCTAGTCTGACTTTGAAACTCAAGTTCTTTTTGTCTTAGTGTAGGAGAAGCGGGAAGAGGACAGAGAGAAAAAGAGCTGGGGTTACAAAGGTGTTTTGAGATCGCTAAGAACACATCTTCTGGGTTTAACTAGGTCTGGGATCCAAAAGGCTGGGTGACCTTGAGCAGATGACTTAGCCTCTCTGAGCTTCAATCCCCTTGTTTGTAATATGGGGATAATACCTGCAAATATATCATGGGGTCCTTAGCAACCCTAGTCACATTACTTTTAAGTCTGTTGTCCACAAAGGCCAGCATTCTGAGGATTATACACAGTCTTCAAAGAGAACTGCAGTTTTATAAAACTGGGCTATGCAGATAAACAGCAAGTTCAAAAAAAAAAACAAAACCAGAGATTTAGCTTCCAACCAAGAAGCCTTGATAGTACAGTAGTTAAATACTCAGCCACTAACCAAGAGGTCAGCGGTTCAAACCCACCGACTGGGTCCGCGGGAGAAGGACCTGGCAGTCTGTTTCAGTAAAGACTACAGCCAAGAATATCCCATGGGACAGTTCTACTCCCTCACATGGGGTTTCTATGTGTTGGAATTGGCAGCACTCAACACCAAAGGAGTCCTAGTGTGGCGCTGTAGAATAAGCACTAGACTACAAGGTCATTTTGAACTGCAAGGTTGGCAGTTCAAGCTCAACAGCTACTCCTTGGAAACCCTTAGAACCAACTCATTAGGACTCAACAACAACAAAAACACCAGAGGACAACCTAGTGGCTCAGCCCCTCACACTACTCATCAGTTCTCATCAGGCACACTACTCATCAGCCCCTCACACTACTCATCAGTTCCTGACCCAGTCTCCACTCCAAGCAGCAGCAAAAGCCCACCTTCAGGCACCTGGGAAGCACCTTTGCCCCTTATCTCACGGACTATGAGGCTGGTGAATGCTAACCCCATTTATCAGATGTGGAGAACGAGGCTCAGAGAAGTCCAACAATGAGTCCAGGGCCTTCCAGCTAGTAAATCTGGAGGGAGTTAGGATTCAGACCCAGTTGTTCCTGTCCTCAAAAATCATAGTCTGCTTTTAAAAAAATAATGGTAAAAATATATGTAACAAACCATTCCATTCCCCAATTTCTACATGTATAATTAAGTGGCACCAATTACATTCTTCATGTTGTGTAACCATTTCCTCTGTCCTTTTCCAAACCATTGTACCATCATCATTCACATAAACTCAAGGCCCCCCTAAACAAAAACACCCCTTTACCCATTCCTCCCACCCCCTGTAACCATTAATAATCTTTGGTTTCTACATATTTGCTTATTTCATACAACTATCTGTATTTCAGGAATCCTGGTGTGGCGCTGTAGGATCAGCACTGGACTACGAACCACAGGGTTTGCAGTTCAAACCTACCAGCTGCTCCTGAAAAACCCTATACAGGGTTGCTATGAGTCGGAACTGACTTGACGGTACTTAACAACAACAATGTATTTCACTCAGCGAAATGTTTTCAAGGGTCATCAATATTGCAGTACACATCAGAACTCCTCTCTCTTTATGACTGAATAACATTCCATTGTAGCTATATACGATATTTTCTTTATCCATTCATCTGGACATCTTGGGTATTAAAACCTATATTCTTACTATTGCATATTACCTTCTCTCTCACCCCTTGAATGGGCAATGATGAAGAGCTTCCATTTATGATGTTCTTTTTCAAGGAGCCCTGGTGTTATTTGGGTTGTTAACCTCAAGGTTGGCAATTCAACCCACCAGCCACTCCATGAGAGGAGTTACAGCCTCAGAAGCCCTACTTAGGGTTACCATGGGTTGGAATCATCTCCACGGCCGTGGATTGGGTTTGGTTTTTGGTTTTGCATATGCTAGACCCTGTGCTCACTGTTTGGTGTCTGTGATCCTTTTTCACTCTCCCAGGAGTCCTCAGGGAAGTTTCTCGAATTCCCACTTTACAGATAAACATCCTTTCTTTAGAAATAAGTTAAACTAACGCACGTGTGTTCAGATACAATCCCTCCCTCTCCTTGTTTAAGAACGAAGGAAGGCAGAGGATATCAGTTCCACTTTAAAGTACTAAAGAGACCCCGTTCAGCTCATCAGGGGTTCTAGAGGAACCAGACATTGCCTTAACTGCGAAGGAAGAGAAGCAATGGCTGTCCCTTTGCACTAACAGACTTGTACATTCATTGTACACGAGCGTGTGCACATCTGTGAGCATTATTCCTGCATCTAGCACATACCTGGCATAGAAACCAAAAACACCCCATTGTCTTGAGTCGATTCTGATTCATAGTGACCCTACAAAACAATAGAGCTGCCCTATAGGGTTTCCAAGGCTGGAATCTTATGCTATATCTACTTCCTTTGGAGAAACTGGTGGATTTCAACCACTAACCTTTTGGTTAGAAGCTAAGCACTATTTTAATGAGTGCATTACCATGGTCCTATGTTGTTGTTGTGTTCCGTCAAGTCAGTTCCGACTCATAGTGACCCTGTATAGGGTTTTTAAGAGTGGCTGGTGGGTTCGAATTGCCAACTTTGCTTATCCTACAGTACTACCTGGGATTCTTGCCTTGCATGTAATTACTAGATAAATAATGTATTTGCTAACTGAAGAATACATTGCAGCAAGAACTAAAAGAGAAACCCAAAGTTAAATTAGCGTTGTGCCGACTTACGTTGTTAGGTTCTGGCCTGCTGACCCACTATTGTTGTTGTTGTTGTTAAGTGTCATTGAGTTGGTTCTCACTCCTATCAACCCTGTAGATCAACAAGAGTGGTGTGAATTGCTGACTTCACAGTTAGCAGTCCTATATTTATCCTACACTGCTATACCAGGGCTCAAAGTGAGTGTTTAATATTAATAATAACCAAGAAACCAGTTGCTGTTGAGTTGATTCTAGCTCATGGTGACGCCATGTATGTCAGAGTAGAGCTGTATACGCCATAGGGTTCCAGTGGCTCCTGTTTTAGAAGGAGACTGTCAGAACTTTATTCTGGCTGCACTTGGTTAGTACCAAGCACATCACCCATTGGTACCATGCAGGGATTCCAATAATGACTATATATACATGTATGTATATGAAAGCCCAACTGCCACCAATTCAATTATAACTCTTAGTGACCCTACAGAAGGTTTCTCAAACAGCCTCACCTTTCTCCTGCAGAGCAGGCTGGTGGGTTTGAACTGCCAACCTTGTGGCTGGCAGCCAACAGCTAACCCCCAGTGCCACCAGGGCTTCTTAACAATACCTAACATTTCTGAAGCCCTAGCTCTGAGCCTGGCACTGTAATGAAGACTTGACTTGTGATCTCATGGAATTTCCCCACCAAGCCCAAGAGTCTAACCACTTATGGACAAATGTCAATGGTAGACACAGATTATTGGGAAGAATAAACTCAGAAGCCACTTGACTAAATCAATTACATTCCCTTATCTAAAGGATACAGAAGAAAGTCAGTGTAATCTCTATCAGCAGGGCCAGCTTCCAAGTCCCCCTAAGTCTCCCCAGCAGGGTGCAGACAGGGATGATAATGGGGCTCCCTGCATACATAGCTTTGCCTAGATACACTCTGGGAGGCAGCCTCATCTGGCCAGGTGCACCAAGCTCATCAATCTCAGAGCTACACAAAGGATTAGAGCCTTGCCAAGGTATGGACGCAGCACATTCAGGCTTGGGCAGAATCCTCATCCATCATCCTCAGCTGCCCAAGCTAACAGGCCATGGTCCAAGTGCATTCTTGAATTCAGTTTCCCAGCTGACTCTCCGAGCCATGCCCTGACATAGCTAGCTATAGGGCTGCAGATGGAGGCTTATTCTTATCTCTAGTTTAGAAAGGGGGAAATTGGAGATGAAGAAATTGACTCAAGTTTGCATTAGCTAGTTAAGTGGCCAAGCTACAATGCAGTCTGACTCCAAGGTATTAGTCAATGAGAAATTGAACGAGGAAAGATAGATGGAAAGAAGGAAGGCATGGGGAGGGTGGGAGGGAAGTAAGGAGGAGAGCTTTGAATGTAAGTACGGAGAGAATTCTTTAAAGGATGTAAGTTCCACGCTCATTTCTCTTCAAGCATCTTGATCAATGCTGGTACTTACTAGGTCAATCAATAGTGGTCGGGTGTGGACACATGGTGTATGCTCTAGCATTAACAGGGAGACAGAACTTGAAACCACACTACGCATGTGCACATTTGGGTGTTGTTGTTGTTATGTGCCGTGGAGTTGGTTCCGACTGTACATCCTACAACCTGTGATGTTGTAGGATGAGCACTGGACTGGAGGCTCAAACCCACCAGGTGCTCCTTGGAAACCTTATACAGAGTCACTATGAATTGGAACTGACTCTATGACACTTAACAACACCACCACCATATAGGCGGCATACCAGTAAGCATTTGACCTCTAGCTAAGAAGTTAGCAGCTTGAACCTAACCAGAGGCACCTTAGAAGATAGGCCTGGTAATCTACTTCCAAAAAAGCCACAGCCTTGAAATCTTATGGAGTCATTCTACTCTGTACGCATGAGATTGCTACAACTTGGTAGCAGCTAATGGCAACGAAAACACAACCATATAGGTAGGAACAGCCTTCCTCCCATTTTACAGATGATAAAACTGATCAGGCACAGAGAGGTCAAGTAACCAAACCTCTTGCCATCGA